TATTGTTAGCGTGACTCAAAAGCAAACTGTAGGTCCCGTGGGACCCACTGCGGTGAATCTGATCACGCATTAGTTTGATGCAATTCACTCTCCGACTCACTGGCCGCACGAAAAACAATAGCAAAATGGATTGGCAGATCATTGCGTATCTGACTCAGCCGTTCGTGCTCGCTTTGAATCACAACTAGGACAAGAGCTAAATGCTCTGCAACGTGGTAGTGTAGATAAACAATGGAATCAGATTAGAGAAACAATGAAATATGTAGAGAACTTAGCTTATGGTTCTGAATCGGTATCCTGTCCGAGACATTGTTATCTAAGGATTCAAGAGCCCTGATGAATGAAAAGCGGTGAATCTCGACCCGCCGAGATCAAAACAGAGGTAGGTGTCTGCAACGTCAGCTCACAAAGAGCCTCAAGATGGACCGTGGAAATTGGTGAACGACAATAGCGAGTGGAAGTAGCAGGTGCAACACCCGAGGTCGGCAAATCACAGTTAGTGAAACAATCTGCTACCAAGGTGCACAAGCTATTCGTAATAAAGAACAACGGCTTGATCGATTAGCACAGTACTTCAAACAACTGGCCTGGCGCTAACCAGACAATCTCGCCTGTTGTGACTGAGGCCCATTGGGCAGTGTAATGAGAACGTCATACTGAAGCAGAAGTACGATCGTGCATCCAAGCCCTGAAGAAATGAGAAATAGTGAAACCTGACGGGATTCCTCCAACTCTTTTCAAGATACAAGACGGATGACCTCGTAGGCACCGTTTCTGATTCACTGCGTAACATTTGGTCACAGCAGCACATTTCATTGTCGTGATTGAATCACTGATCGTTCCTATTTTCAACAAAAGATTTCGCAAAACCTTGTAGATTAAGTTTAATCCCCATCGTCATCAAAGCATTAACCTGCCATACTTCAATTTCCGTGAATAACAAGCAGGATTCCGCCGGGTTGGGGTTGTACCGACCAAATCACCACTCTACGCCAAGTCGTCGATTTACGCCGTACGCACCGCCGACCAACGACTGTCAAGTCCCTTGAATCCGAAAAGGAGCATTAGACTCGGTTAACCACGTACCCTTATGGGTTCGCCTCTACGAAAAGGAATGCCGCTGAAGTATGTCAACCTTTTGAGTTCATTGTATTCTCATACTTCTGGAACCGTAACGGTCTTCTGTGAGCTGAGCAGATAGTTCGAAACTGGCAACGATGTTCGTCAAGGGTGCCCTCTTTCGCCATTCCACTTCCATTTCGTCGAAGTGCTGAGGATTATGACGATGATGACAACGTGAAACAGCCTGATCATCTGCTCGGTGATTGAATGGGTATCCCGCTCGCATTTCACCTGTGCGAACTCGGATTCGCGATCCTCAGTCGGGTCAATGGATTCGCACTGCATTGGTGATGAGACCCAAGGGGGCTGAAACCGACATTCGATGTTTCTTGGCTTTTCACTCTGAAACTCAAGTTTTCAAAATTAACTTCTACACTACTTCCCATTCCATTTGTTTATCGATACCGGTTAATCGGAAGATAGCAGTCAAAAAGAGAACATTCACATTCAGATTCCACGAAGTGTTCCAGAACACTACGGAACCATTCATCAAGAGATTGTATAAGTAGTAGTTCCCGTTTATGTATTTTGTCTATCAATTCATAGAATAGTTCAGTTATAAATCAACCAACACGCGTCATTCTGCATTCTGTAATCGATCAAAATTCCGAGATGATTGTCACTGATCTCACGAAACAGTCTCTCGCATATGCATGTTCGTTTGATAAGAAGGAGAAAAATATTCCACCACGGTAACTGTTTTTTTAGTTTTACTCCGAATTTGTATTTGGTCATGTGTCAAATTAAACTAGAAAAAACACCCGATACCGGCGACATGGTTAGCAAACGTGTTTGGCTGGTGTAGCCGGGAAATGAATCAATGCAAAACTTTCGTTTCAGTGCTATTGTCAAAAAAATCGTTGTGATTCTCTGAGTTATTCAATATTCTCATTGATTCTGTAGCCTAACGATGGAATGCGATTCAATGTAGTACATCTGAGTGAACTTTGGTATCGTCAGATTTTTTCATTTGGAACAGCCAGTTCCAAACGGTCATTTAGTACAGGGGCATTGCGTTGTTCTCAGTGAAATCTCGTGCAGGACTTCACCATCTGATAGATAATGCGCTATTGGATTACTCTGCTATTTTTTACTACCACATGAGTATTCGTATTTGTTTCGCAGGTGAACATATCGCGTTGAAACAGTATGATCAGATGGGAATTCGCACGATTCATTGCTGGTATCCGAAATCAGACAAGTTTCACATGTGGTCAACTCGTAATAAAGACACGAGGTGTTAATATTGATGAGGAAACGTTGCCGAGATCTCCACTTGGTAAAAGTGCGGACATACTGTGAGTACCAGGACGCATGAGTTATGCGTATTCCAGAATCTTGGTGAAATGCAAGCATGAACAAACACACCTATTGTGTCTATGCCTGGTTTTATTTGCTCCAACAGGACAAAGAGCGAGTGAGAGAGAGCTAACACGAAAAATCTATCGACTGAGACGTTGTTATGCGCAGCCGTTCTTCATGGGGTGGTGAGTCAAAGATAATTCTTTCTTATTTTACCACTGCATTGTTCACCTTACCGATTCCCTGCTGCTAACAAAATTCACACACGGCTCCTCCCATACCTCACATTCAGTAGCCTTCGAAGGCCTTACGATGATCTCGGGTGAGCGTCTTGGTTTGTGACTGATCACTCTTCACCTGCGCCTCGCGAAATGCCTCCACTGAGGAAGTCCTACTCGCTCCCTTCTCGTGGTGGAGCTGTTTCCCCAACAAAGTGAGAGAACGAACATCAGGGGCGATAACCTTGTCGGTCAACAACCGGCAGTTCACCTAGGGGAGTTGGTTAAAAAGCAAACCAATCAAAAAGAGGCCTACGAACTACACCCACCCGAACCTTTCTGTTTGTGGCACAGATTCATTGAATACAGTCAAAAAGGTCTTGCTTGTCTACGGACGACATGAGGCCAGTATGATCACCTTGTAGATCCAGAAAATCGCATTTTTCTGTGTCAACCGAGGTTAAAGGTACATCACCTGTGTACAATGCTTCAAGGTTGTTCGTGAACGCAGTTACGGAACAGACCGATCTTCACGATCCCAGAGAATCACCTAGAAGGTAAAGCATGCTTTAAACCAGACAGTCTAGGTGTGAGACAGGACCTGCACCAACTTTTTACTTAACTTTACTGCGGCTGGCTCCTTCGAAAGGATAAGCCGGCTCCAGACATGATTATGAAGTTCCTTGTAAGTTTGGTACGAAAGACGTCAACAGTGTCACTCAGCGTTTTTTTTTAATTTTGAGGGCGCACCTCCAGCTTTTGCATAACCAAGTGTGAACGGCAAGGCAGTAGGAAGTAATCCCTCGCCTCAGAAATGAGAGGGTCTATGGCTTTAGTTTTAAAAAGACAATCACATCGATCTTTGTCACGAAACCCTCGTTGGGCTTATGCGACTTTTAAACAGGAACCAGGTGACCAACTCGAAACCAATCACAGTGGTAGTGCCACCTCCGTTTGTTCGCGACTGCTTATTTGTTGCGGTAGGCCATAACTTATTCACACCTAACCATTTTCGATGAAGGTATTCCCTATCCACAACCCGGGGACGCGCCTGGTAGCATTCAGCTCAGCTTAACCCGAGGGTATCCACGACCACACAGGTACAAGCGGCACATGAAAATATAGGCAGACAGGAACCCTGATTCAAACCAACGTGCCTAGAGCAAAGTGTGTGCGTTGGTGTGGAAATTCTTAACATACAAGCACGTGCCTAGCCATAGATATCACAGAGCTGATGGCTCTGGTGTTAACAGGCGTTTTATGATACTGAGAAAACACTAGAAAGGTGGACCAACATTCAAACCATACAATGTGGACCTGTCACGAACATGAACACATATACATGTTTAGAAAGGTTACATGCATGTCCAGCTAAGTGTGCCAAAGTTGTGAAACAGGTTAAGATGGATGAAAAAAATGCTAACCATAAATATCGCGAATGAGGCTGAAGACCACACACAATAAGAGCGAACTTTATGGGATCTCAGGAATGGAATCCAGGACTGAGGACACAAGTAAGGGGCTCAAAGAAGGACAAAAAGCACCACGGATGTGACAATATCGAGGTGACAATGGGTCAAAAAGAGGAACGACAGGGTAGGTGGGAAGCGAACCAGAATGTAGCACCGGCGACACGCGGATGAACCGATAGTTAAATTATGGCCATCATATGCAGACAAACCGGTGTTGTATCACGTGACAGATAAACAAGTTCATGTTTGCCTGGCAAACAATGACTGAGGTCTGAGAAACAAAAGCAATCACATGCAACCGTATTGATTATTGTAGGAACTAACTAAACTGAACCGACCGCTGGATTGCATGTTTCAAATTTTGTATTATGAAAGGTGGAGACAGTGAACGGTCACGTGACAGAGATAATGGGAGCTAAACAAGATGGCGTCTGCAGTTCGTCTCCGTTGCTCTCCTCTCGCCCCCCTATATATCGTCCTTATTGATTGCCACAGATGGAAAGTCAAGTATAACTACAACACAGATAGACGGCGTCCTAACGGAATTTACATCCATTTGATCAACAACAAAGAAAACGATAAGCGAGCGATTTGGTTACAGGTAGGTCAACAATTGCCCATGTGAATTTACAATTAAACCATTTGCCACAACTGACAAATCCGAGGTGGGGGAGTGGGGTCCGAAGAGGAAACGTAAGTTTTAGGAATGGGGCGGGGTGGGAGGAGGTAGAACTTACTGTGAATTTGGCTTTGTACAATCCTTGGTAGGCCATATCAGTTGCCTCAATCAGTTTGATCATACAATCACGAACAACGGTCCTGAGTAGGAGGAGATGAAATCGGAAAGGAAATGAGTGCAACCTCAAGAAATTCCTTATTCATCAAACTGATCCGGATTGAATCGAGCGCAGTGAGTCATTCAGGTCGTAATCCGCCGATCGTGAGTTCAAACAGCATCACCAACTACTTCGTGTCCGGAGACAACACCTTACTGGCTGAAGCCAGCCCCCTACCCTGCTCTGCCCTGCCGCTTTCCGGAACCGTGAAGGTGGAATTCAATTAAATAGAACGGAAATAAAACGACTGTTATTGTTATTCTCCATTTTCCCGGCAGAGATAGTCAAGTAATAACTATTTGGGAACAGAAAGAAAGAGAGCGGGGATCGATACATTTCACAAGCATTCACTCATGCGCCATTAATCAACGAGTCTACCATTATATAGTATTGAGTTGACAAAGTATTTGAAAGTCAGTTCTGATATAGCTCGGGTGAACTGAATTCTATTTCGTCTGTTGGTCAAGCTTGGCAATTTGTTTGCACACGTTTCATCTCCAGCCGAGGTGACATTGTCAGTGCTTGTGAAGTAGCCACTTCAAATTTTCTTTTTATTTATTTAACATGCAAATTTACTACCGATGTTCTGTATAAGGGATACAGTTACAATTGCTGGTTAAAATGTCGCAAATCTACGGCCAGATCTTCCTTAGCTGTTGGTTTTTGATGTGAGCATTCATTGTTTGGAACTGAAATCTGTGCGCAGAAATGCATCATGTGTGCATCCCAATCGATAGAGTCCGTGATGATTAGGCAGTTTCTTCGGTTGCGGCTATCGATTATCGTACGTCAAACCTGAGCATTGTTTAATCGAAAAATGCTGCAAACAGTGCCGATGTTGGGCCTAACAATCATCGGAGCGATGCTGTCGAACAAGTTCAATTGCTGCGGTTAAGATTCGATCCCAAGGTTAAAAACAAGCTTACTGTGTGCGTGTCACGGGATAGATATGCAGCTTGCAGGTAACAAATCATATTCATCGCTTTGATTATCTGTTTCCGTTATAGTGAGAATGTACAGACTAATTGTCGTACTGAGTACCATAACCTTTCTTTAAAATTTCCTTCACATTTCGGCTCTGATCGTCTACACATTGCAGCGGAGCTGAGTTCGAGGATATGTGGGATATATGGGTGGTCAAACTGCATAGCATATCTATATTCATTGATGAGTAACTAATGAATCCCTTTGTGTGCCTGGGGCCTCCGAAATTCTCAGTATGGTAGGAGGTGGGCATCTCGGGTTGTGACTGATCACTATTTCATTATATCTCGCAAAATGCTCCC